AATTGTTAGATATCACACAGGTTTTGCGTATGAAAAAAACTGAAAATTTTAAGATATCCATTTGATATTCTAATAAAATAAAAAATCTCGTTGTATAAATTATGTGCACTACACAAATTACAAAAACACCACATTTAAATAATACTCAACCTAGGTGATGATGGAAATCATCAAATCCATTAAACCACAACTAGTCGCTTTGTCAGTTTCTAAAACATCATAAATCTTCCCCGGTGAAACCAACCTCAGAACGCCAGAGTGTAGAGCTGTGATCTTTTGTCTTTCAGAAATCTCCCAAAACTTCCTGTCTGTCGGTTCAACCTCCGGAGGGGGGAATCACTTTTCCACTATTTCATTTTAAAGTCCGCTGCACCGATGCAACAGAGGCGAGGCGGCGACCGCAGATTCATTCGAAAAACGTACTGTCTGTGGTATGCTCTTCTTTACATTAACTACTGACGATGACAACTAGTGCAGTGTGCAGAGAGTCAACTACTGCGCCAGCCAGTCAAGACCAATCCTTAGTGGTGGAACGAAGAACATCATCAAAGTTAAACGAGCGCATAGATGATGTGACTGCGAGCACACTTCTACCTTTCACATTTATAATGGTAACATATTACCAGATTACAATTGTTCATAATTCATTCAGATGCATACGGTCGGTGGAAAGTCGTGGTGGTGAGGGGGTGAAAAGCTGACGGTTCCCTTCTGAAGAAAGACGAATAGGAGAAATGTACTTGGGAAACTAGTTGCGGCTGGATAGTGGGATCAAAGTGGATTTCAAAGGCAGAAACTTTTCCAACATTACGTAGAGGATATTGTTCAAGAGCTTCGGAATTCCATGAAAACCAAAGGAAACCCATAGTTGAGAAGCTTGGATTTCCCCCACCAGGCTAGTTAAGTGTACAGTTTTATGGAGCGGTAGATTCACCTAATGCATTCCACTGAAAAACTGCTTTCTTGCATGCATGCATACGTTTCTCATGCGGCCATATGACACACAAGCCATGGAAGTCAGTGGTAACGGAAAGCGGCTAAATACTGTTGAATGCCTGCGCCATGCGCCATGTACTAGAAACCCTGTCTGTGGTGGCGGTTACAAGAAAATAAGAATATTAATAGCGGCCAGACCGAGAGTGTTCAACGTTGGCATTCCAACCAACCAATGCAATGTACCGACTATGATACATGCACTGGAAAACGGTTCTATTGCATTGATAGTTGTATTATAGTGGATGAATGGATATGCTATCCGTTATAAAGGGGATCCATCACAATTATCCACTGAAAAACCAAAAACACACTTAGAATCTCGATGGATGCAATATTTCACAATTTCACTTGAAGATTGAAAGCAAACACGTGAGACAGCAAACAGCTTCTCTATTTGGGTCTGAGGACAGTCAAATTCATAAATCCCTAAATCATCGAAGCATCGGAGAAAGGAGGCAAATGATCCGAAACTATAAATATTATTTTCCGTTCTAAAGCATTGTGTAAACAAGAAGCGGCTTAATTTATTTGTGACATTAATGCCTCGTTCCAATTGTAGTGTGGGACGTTCTTGTTGGTTCCGTTTCAAGTAACTTCATTTGAGGTATGTAATTAACCTTGAAATGGGATAGGCCTGTGTAATCCGCTCCCGTCGACGTCGTCCCGTGTCGAAAGTTGAACCAAAGGACTGCCTGACTGACTGACAGCGACAGGTCTGGAGAAGTGAATCCATCTGGATGGGGAAAGAGGAAGCCAAAGATTTATGATTTCTTATGATGGGAATTTAGAGTGAGATTGGAAGCGTACGAGGGGGGAAAGTTGAAGAATGTAAAATAAGTAGCATTAATTTTCAAACAATTTGAATTATGGAAACGGCGCTCAATGAACCTAACCTGGAGATGTAAGATTCTTTTACAGTACACATAATTTCACCCAACCGGGGGATGTAAGATTCTCTTACAATTATGTGGGATTCATCATCAGAGGATGGTAGTGGAGACCGCATGAACCGAGGATGCAATATACCTAGCTGCGGTCCAATGCAAGAAAATTGGAGACCGAAAAATGTAGAGTGTATTAGTGACATAAATTAGTTATGTCGAAAAAAATTGGAAGCAGACTGCCGACTGGACTCGAACCACGAACGTTGCGATTATCGGACCTGTGTTTTCTTCCACTGCTCTCTCCATGCTTTTGAACATGAATAGCCTAAAAGCAATCATGAAGCGCTCATTTTCTCGCATACTCGACTTCGTATGCTTTTTCTGCTGGAGAGATTCGAGGCAAGTGTGTGCGTCGTTCTACAATGTTCTGCAATGTGCGTCGTTCTACAAGCTTACTGGTATAGTCGAAAGCTTAGATAGCGAGAACGAGAGAACGCGAAATAAAAAAGACAAAAAACCATTACATCGCCTGCATGGTCAATTTCTAACATTCGTTGCGATGTTCATGCCCAAGTAACACCAATTCATATCATTATGTTGAGTAAACTTCTTTACAACCAAATCCAGTCATATAAAGGTTATATAAACTGATATAGAACATGTGTGTTGCTAGGGTGAACAGAGGATGATAGGAAACGGAACTAACATTCATTGTAATAGATTTTTGGTTTGCGTGTTGTAATGTTTCACCGCATGAACAGATTCTGCAATGTGGTCGTCGGAAGGTTTTTCAGTTTTCATAACAAAGTTTGTTGCCCCAAATGCACTGCGGCTAGAAAATGATATCGCGATGGTTTTATTCCAAAAAATCATTCTGGAAAAACCTGCTTGTTTGCTACAGTTCATTGTAAGTACTTTCATTGCATTTGTTGTAAGAAACATCTACAGAGGATGTAAGAAATCTTGACGTGCATTTATTGCTCATGTCATATGTTTTGCGTGTGGAAGATGCTTGTGTTGGCAATATTCGTCGATAATTGATCAAGCAGATAAATTATGGCACGGAATCTTTGTGCAAGGTTGAAGTATGGCATAACAGGATTCTTATTATACTCTCTTAACCTTGTCTGGAGTTATTGTGTGGTTGGAATCACTGGAGGAGAATGTGTGCGGAATGATGGTCATGCATGTCGGTTTGTCGGTGAATATCGAGGAGAATGATTCGGGCCCGTCTACCATAAGTAGAATGTATACATTTTGTATATGTTGGACGAGTTCCGGGTCGTTTTCTGCCATTTCTGAATCAAGTGCAATTTGAATTCATAATGCATAAATTGTACCATTGGACAACGTTCTTATGCATTTAACATACATACACATCGAGTATTAGTACAATACATACACATATTTGTTAGCATTGATCATGGTTTCTTGATTTTGTGAGTTTTTGAGATTGGTTTTTCGCTGATCGAAGTTTGTGATTGGGATAGATGATTAAGGTTCTGGCCAGTGAAAACTATATGGAAGTATCGTTATTAATATCAGGTCATCGTGCAGCTTTAGAATTAACAGCACAACATTATTCAAGTTTATCAGAAGTTTCCTTAATAAAGAAACAACAACAACAACATCTTATTTAAGATTATTTTTAGCTGCTCGATGATGAAACATTTTTAGATTCACTGTTTTCAGCCTTCGTTAACGCTGGGTTTATTGATTTATTTTTTCAGCCCTTCGATGATGGAAAATCTTTGGATTTATATTGTACTAAAATTTTTTTTTTTTTTGAACCTCCGTTCAGGCTAAATTTATTGAATTAAATTATTTAAGTTTATTATCAGCTCTTCGATGATGGAACATCTTTAGATTCACCTTTTTGTCAGTTTTCATTCAGGTTGAGTTCATTGATTAACATTTATTATCAGCGCTTAGATGATGGGAAATCTTTAGATTTCAATTATACACTCGTATTCTCGTTGTCTTTCGAACCGTGTTTTCCATACAAAAAAATAATTAATCGCGTTTATCTCCTTAATTGAGGCCTAATCGCGATTTGAGGGGTTGGGGTTTTGAAATCTTTAATCACGTTTATTTCTTTAATTAAGGCCTTAATCGTTATTTGAGTGGTGTTCAAAATCTTTACTTGCGTTTATTTTCTTAATTAGGGCCTGAATAGCGATTTATACATCGAGTCGATGAAGGGTAGAAGTTTTTACGCGTGAATTTTCGAAATCTTTGAAGTTTAGTTTTTTTTTTCTTTATATATATAGAAATAAAGACGCAATAAAGTTAACTTTTTTTTTGTTTATTTATTTTCATCAACCGATTTAGACTAGTATAAATACATATACAAATTTGTTTTTTTTTAAAGGAATATTAAAAAAATATATGTATTGTCTGTTATTCTTTTTTTTAAGTCACTTAAGAGTGTTATTAGGTCATTAGTGACTTGTTTGGGGATGAGATATGAACTCGTGGCTTTGCCTGAAAGGTATGGATGTTAACCACTGTTGGCGATTGGATCGGTAGGACTTCTACGATATCGTATGCGGAGAAATACTAGGTCGATCAGCTGATGCAGCACTTGTCGATATATCTTCTCGACATCTGCTACGATGGCGACAGCTCTTGTCCGGAATCTCAAATAGATCGAGTAGAGATCTTGCTGAACAACAGGTCCAACAAGCAGAGTGTCGTTCAAGGAATAGCCCGATGAAGTCTTGCATGACGCGTCGAAGACAACCCTGACTTTCGTGGTCATATTGGATTCCTTGAATACGACGTGATGTGGAATGTAGCAGTGTTGAATGTGGTCATCTACAGGCTTTTCCACCTTCTTCATGTGTCCAAGTTGCACATACTCCTCCATGAACCTATGTCCTTGGTCGCAGGATCTTGCTCGAGTCGACGTTCCAAGATCAGAAAGCATCGATCTGCTATTGATCCCGATTATTATCCGAGCATGCTTGTGGAGGGATAGCAGAGCCGTGGAATGCAGGTAGCCGTGCGAGCTGTGGGACCAGTAACCACCCAACCAAATGGGGTTTCGACTTTCGACTACCCACAGAAGATAAATCTTCCTACCCGTGTGGAGTTCCCAATATGTTTCACTGCCGATGACTAGGTCGACACTTCCGGGAATACTGAACTGAGACTAATGTTAAGAGTTTGGACTGCCATGCTGACTTGGCGGGAGCCAGAAGGTTCCACGATTGGTGACGTGGAAGGAAGCGATTGTTGAACCGAGGAAGCTGATGGTACAGCAAGATTCGGTGACACGGTAGAACTTTGAGACTCAGCTGAACTGGATAGAATGGCAGGCGTAGCTGATACCTTCATTGCAGCACGATCGTGCAAGAGAGAATGATGTTTGTCGTGGCAAGTTCGACAAGTGAATTTGGATCCACACTTCTTGGATTGGTGACCGAAGCTTAAGCAGTTCCAACATAATCGTTTCTGGGAAATCAGCTCGCGTCGCTGGCTGAAATCCTTCCCAAGAAACACAGGACAGCTTCGAATTGAATGACTGTCTGAACAAGACAGTGGACATGAATACTGTGGAGACGAAACTGTTGCTGCATTGGCTGATACCTTTGACTTGAATCCTTTATTATGGATGCCGGCGAATTGTTGCGAATCAGGTCCGACGGAATTGAGAATACGAACTCGTTGATAGAGAAAATCGACCAGTTCCTCGTACGTCACGTCGCCCCGTTGACTTGCCTTCTCTTCCCAGGCTCGTAGCGTTGCTTGATCCAGTTTGTACGAAAGTAAACTGATGAGCGGCGTGTCCCAGTTTGGTTCACCCAGTTTGGCGAGGGCGCAAACATGACGTTGATAATCGTCGACCAAACCGTGAATGCATTTCGCACACTCCTGCTTGACTGCTGGCAAGTCGTACAATGCCCGGAAAAGTTGTTTTTTGAGGTATCGTCGGTTGTCGTACCTCTTGATCAGAGCGTCCCGAGAAAAATCCCCGTTGAATTTCGGTAAATCAATTTTTGGTAGACGGAGGTGGAAGTTTGGAGTGAAATGTTGCGGAGCCAGCATAGAATTGTTCATCGACTGATTTTGATCCCCAGTGTGTTTCGTAAGTAGAAAACCCTTTGCCTTGCAGTACCACTGTTCGAACTCCACACGTTCGACGATATGCTCATCCAGTGATTCCGGTTTATCCAACTGTTCAATGGCATCCTGACAATCCAAAAAGTTTGCGTCCAATTGATCCAACGAATTCAACCCTACACACAGTTGACTGGCATCGCGATCGTGATCGTACTCGTGAACAAACTTCTCCAATGCATTGCGAATCGCAAGGAGTCCCTTACGTTGGGCCAAACGATCACCCAGATTTTTCTCCTCTCTCGTCGGCATCGCGGACGAAATCGAAACGTATTGCTCCTTCCCGATGCGGTGTATAAACCCCTTCGCGACGTTTCAATCTAACGGAAGTGAGTCGTTGATAATCGAAATCGATCTCTCCTTCCCATCGCGAACGTACCCACTTCTACACGGTTTCGCAAATCGAGGGCGCGAACGGTTTTCCACTCGATATGCGGACCGTCAACCACCAGCCACAATAGCCCTTGGCTACCCACTTTCTTACGTTATAGAAGCTACTGCTAGCCACATGCCGAATAACTTGGAACGGACTCACCGGGAGCAATCCAATGGATAGGATGCTTTCCTTCAGGCACAACGGTATTGCGCTAAATTGATCCAATGGCGAGCGATGGCGCCCAGTAGCGTTCCCAAGCGACGCAGGCAAGCGTCGAAGATGGCAGCGACGTGATGATTTAGAAGGGTTAATCACCTCCCCCAATGGCCACGATCCACAATGGCCAGACACAATGTCCTTTATTCTCCACACAACAGAGTAACATTCGGCTTAGTGCACTCTCAAGCGCAATATTCTTGTCCCGCATAAAATGCACGCGCTTATTAATTACCGACGGTGAAAATGTACCGAATATCGATCGTTCTGCTTTTCTCTCGCGATCAGCACACTAGCAGCGATAGTCACTATCTTCACTCAGTTCACCGTCGTAGCGCGATCGATATCAGTAATCGAATTTTCACACTAAGGCTGCCGAATAGCACCCGTATTGGTACTATGTCCACGCGAAGCACTCACAGCAGGATAGTTCTGATTGAATTTAATTAATTCCCACACTGTGGTTTACCCGACGTGGTAGAAACCTTGTCACACTATCGCACTTGTTTTTGACCAATGTAACGGCAGCCCCGTTGACCCGCGTTTTCGGTCAGATTGGTCACTTTCACACACCTCCGCGAGGCGCACTTCTCGGTCCGAATTTCCGGCTCGAAGGACCAAATGTTGGCGATACTCGCCTTGCCGTACTCGAAGGTCTTTCTTCACTAGCCAAGTGAACTAGCACCGAAAAATTCACTCTTTAGATGTGCTTCACCAATTACAAAATTCTTCCAAGTCCCTTTTTACGGGAGGACTTTGTCATCGAAGGACCAAAGAAAATTATTATTTTTATTTTTGTCGGTTATTTACAAATTGTGCATCTACCTATCCAAATGTTGACCATCGGCTATTGTCGTTATAATACCCTCTCTGTGCTCACAAATTCAATGAAAACTCCAATCCATGTGTTTTGAAACTGTTGCTATCTACAAATTCAAAATTCTAATGTATTAACTCTAACAACCACTACGCCGGGGTCGCCTCCATCTGCTATTCTATTTTTACTTCTTACGAGTTATGATTCCATGTGGAATCATAATATTATTGTTTTAGTTTAGTATTTTGTTTTCGTGCGTGATTGAAAATGGAGACCATACAATGCTGCAATATTTAAGTATTGACCTCACATAAGCAATATATAATGTTTTAATTGTGTATGGGTACTGAAAGTTATAGCAAAAGTGCTTGATAAAGCCTAGCATGTTGTTTGCCCAGCGAATGATTGTATTGTAATGGTCTATGAAAGTTAGTTTGGAGTCTAAGATAATTCCTAAATCCCTAACTCTTTCACATTTTTCTACATTGTGATTTCCTAATGCAATTGAAATATTGAAGTTATTCTTTTTTCAGCTAAATGAATTTAAGTTGCATTTTTTTTACGTCCAGTTCTAATAGGCTTTTTTTACACCATGTGTAGAATATGTGTAATTCACTCTGGAATATATTGATCTCTTCATCATTTCTTATTTCCAAAAAGAGCTTGATGTCGTCGGCATAGATTAGCAATTTTTTTTTTTGAGAATGAAGGATATATCGTTTAGATACAGACTCCTGTGGTGACTTGAATTGGGGTCAATTTTTTTCCATTGAATTTAATTATTTGTTGGCGGTTAGTTAAATATGATTCAAACCATTTTAGGAGTCCTGCGAACGTGAACGTGTGTTTCACCTGCTATGTGAGATTTCACCTAAACATGCTCAAATTCATTACATTTTGCTGTAGAGATAATTTCTGAGTTAAAATTGGTCGAAATAGCTATGAGGGCTCCGCCGCCTGTGGCATCTGGCATCCTTTTCCGTCCTCTACACGTCATCCCCTTTCCGGAAATACCCATATTGTAGGGTATTTGACAGTTTTTCTTGAACCGATCGCCGGCATCTTGGATTCTAAAATGACGTCTGGAATAGATTTCCGGCCTCAACACGTTTGGATTCCAAAATTGCGTCTGGCATGCATCCATCCATGGCCTCTGCACGTCGTCCCCTTTCCGAAAATACCCATATTGTAGAGTATTTGACAGTTTTTCTTGAACTTATGGCCGCCATCTTGAATTTCAACATGGCGTCTGGCATCGATTTCCAGTCTCTACACGTCGTTCCCTTTCCGAAAATACCCATATTGTAGGGTATTTGACAGTTTTTCTTGAATCGATGACCGCCATCTTGGATTTTAAAATGGCGTCTGAAATCGATTTACAGCCTCTCTACACGTCATCCCTATTCCGTTTCGTGACCTCATATTGCACAGCAACATCTTATATGGACAAGCTTTCCAGACATAACATATTATGAAAGTTCATGTGCACACTAGCGCCGCGTAGTGAGAGAGTTCTTAAATAATTTGACCATCATCCGAAAGGTCTTGATCACCTGCACAACTTTGCGGAAGACAGCAACGTTCTATATGGCCAGGTTCTCGAGATACAGTTAATATAGGAAGTTCACATGCACACTAGCGCTACGTAGTGAGAGAGTTCTGAACTAATATGAACACCATACAAAAGGACATGATCACCTGAACAACTTTGCTCAAGACAGTAACTTCCTATATGGCCAGGATCATGAAATATTCTATGTTGCACCTATGATCCATATATTATAGTACCCGTCATAAGTAACATAAAAGTGAAGCGCCTCTAGCGGCGTAGTTCCCAATTAAACCTGAATCCAATGACACAGGCTTGTTGCTCTATCACTACAACAACTTTGTCGAAGACGGTATAGCTCTATATATTGAAACAAATGAGATAATCCACTACAGCCCCTATTAGTGAAAATCCCATAAGCTGTTAGTATCCTTATTCGCGGTTCCTTATTCACGCCCCTGTTACCCCGGCAATAAGGATTCCTGACTGTATAGACATTTTAAGCGGGGAACTTGGACTAGGTTTTAAGCTTATGCAACATGGAGAGCGGCTAATAACAGATAATTCGAATGAGATCCTTTACAGTTATTTGTTTAAATCTAATTCAAACGTTCCCAAATAACGTCTCAAAAAATTAATTGAGGAGCTCCGCTAGCTTTTGCTTACTAATTATGAGATCGTCTGTTCAAGACGAGTTGATCGGAAAGCTATAGGAGAAATGGATGTAATGTCGGCCTAAATGCCCCTGATTTGGGCCCATACATAAATTCAGCAATCGACTAAATTTTAGATAGGGACCATAAATATCCATTAGTGCCATCCCAATGACGCGTTCATCTAGATGAAATTGAGCCATTTGCCCTATCAAACCCTTCTCAAGAGCAGTTGTTGTCGTCATCTGTGAGGTCACCACCGTGACCCAAATCTAGCAAGTTGACCGGGAATCGTACTTTTTTGAGAAATAAGGAGCTCTGTGGCCTAGTTGCGACCGATTTTGCTTATTAAGCAAAAAATTATGGGTTCAATGTCAAGCTTTTTTACATTATATAGTTTTAGTTTGAATTGGATTTATTCTTAATATAAGGTAAAGCGTATTGAAATTTGGTTGGAAGAACGAGTAAGAAACGTGTTGATTGGGAATCTAAAACAAATCATTCTCAAAAGTAGTTTTTACCATAATAACAGTAAATTGAGCACGAACTTAGTCGTAATTTTTAGTGAAATAAGAAGCTCGGTGACCGATTTTGCTTACTGAGCATAAAATCATGGGTTCAATCAAAAGCTCCTTCAAGTTATTGAGTTATACTTTAAATCGGCTTCCTTTCATAATATGATGTAAAGCGTAAAAACATTCGTTTTGAGGGACGGGTACGTAAACTAAGCAATATTTGAGTTTCAGGAAAGACGTGTTGATCGGAAATCCACATCAAATCCCTTTTCAACACAAAAGTACACATGGTGACTGAAAAATTCTTACAGTTTGAAAACCTTAAGATTTAAACATTTTTAGAAAATAGTTTGTTAAATACTTTCGATTCATCCTATCACAAATGCCCATTATCATCAACATGTGCCTTCAATAGCTATTCAGCCGTAAATTCCCAACTTCCCAGCTTAAATCACAAATTTCAACCATTTTCATCTTGTGGCTTTTACAGTCAGCAAAAGAATTACAGCGCTCCCAGCTACGGATCGTGATTTCACTGCAAAATTCACCAGTCACCACCGTGTGCTCGTTGCTCGTTTTGGGGTGGTTCTACTTTTGGATGCTGTGATTCCCAATTACTGCAATCAATCCAGGGAACGAACACCACTCCATGACGTTCAATGTCTTCATTTTCCAAGTCAGTTTTCCCAGTAGAAGCCACCCGCTGTCCACCGTCCTCGCTTCACGTGTCTTGCACAGCGGACGGAGAAAACGACGGAGATATGACTTTGAAGGAGCAGTTGCTATAGAGTGCCAGAAGGGGTGCTCTTTCCCAAAGTGCCAGGAATGAAAACAAAAAGGTCCATTCCATCGTTGTTGTTTGCAGCCGGTGAGATTAATTCAATAATATTTAATGATGGCACAATGTTGGTTGGGAAATGCCTTTCCTGCAATAACTAAGCGCGTGAAGTGACTTCGCATGGCTTCAAAGAAATTTGTTGGACTCGAAATACTTGCTAACTGAATTAATTCAATTTCCCGGCACTTAATTGTGGATGTTTGACATAAGAAAAGATGATCAAACATATATTTCAAGTTAATAAAAAAAAATTACGGTTGCGGTTGATATGTGACTTACTCATGTGGG